GAAAGAAGATGTTCTGCCACTTGTTTGGCATAATGCTTTTTTATCGTCTTTGACTTTTTGAACTTTTTCTAACGACTGTTTTTTTCTACTTCAGCTTTTCTGGTGTTTTTCAAACTTTTGGTAAAACTAGCAATAAGGAAAAAATCAAAAATGATAGGCAACAGATAGACATAATTTATTAAATTCAATCGTTCTAGAACCCAAGTTTAAGTTTTTGCGGCTTTTTGAAAAACAAAAACTTTGAACTCGAAGTGAATGCAAACCTCCGGCAAATAACAAACCATTTCATTTTTGAAAATTTGTTAACTAAAAAATGGGAAGAAATTTTAATAATATTTTATTTCATTCATAAAAACAACAACAATCAAAATTTTGAAATGCTTGAAAATTAAAATATTAAGGCGATGAACTTGGTTGGCAGTATTGGTTTGGGCAACACTGGTTGATAATATTTTTGAAAAATGGGAACCTGTTTTAATCAGAAAAAAACTATTAAAAACTACTTTAAAACAATAGCATTTGTACGGGCAGCACATGCGGAAATAATGTTTAAAATCTCTAAAACTAAATGAGAAACAATAAAAATGGAATATTTCTTTGGGCAGCAGTGGTAAATGATCTTGGATAAAACTAAGAAACGATACAAATACTCAAACAACTGAAGATGAAATATGTATAAATAAATTTCCAGACTGGGCAGCATGTCATGATGACTTTGAACAAAACTAAAAAATAAAATCCTTGTTGTGGGCATCATATGCTGAGATCTCTAAAAGTAACTACTTCTTTGAGCAACACGTCTCCATAATAATTCAAGGGATCCCATTTTTGAGAACTGAAAAACATAATATCGTGAGGGTTTATTCGTTGTTTAATCACTTACAATTATAAATAACACATTCAAAAATCGATTGAACTTCAGAAAAATCAGATGGTAGAATGCACAAAATAAAGATCTCCAGCCAGAAGGTGATCAATTATTTTGTTAAAAAATAAATTTGAGAAAATAATAATATGAAGATGGAAATTCAGAAAAATTTGAATACTCTAGGCTCCTACACGAGGTGCCAATATCACCGATTAAATTCGAATGAGATCCGCGAGTCGGAGCAAGTGAAATGCGAGAGAGATCGAGGCGCTGAGAAACGAGATGGCGAGATATCATTATGCAGTCATTCACCTGGAAGGCAGACAACTAAGAACTGAAAAATATAAGTAGAAAGGGACATCATACAAGATAAAGCGAGAACAAAAAACTGACAGACGCCGAAGCGGAAAATTTTGAGATATCACTAAAAACATGAGATATAGGCTCCGCCTTCTAAATGATATTCAGCTGTGCGGAGGTTGAGGCAAATATCAAAAAGATGTGGGATATTATGTGGGCTGGTGCATCATGTCACCTATGTAACTGGTCGTCAACAAAAAGGGATTTCGGATATCCATGTGATAAAATGAGAAGGAAAAAGCATTTGCCTGGATTAGAAGGAGCTTGTGAATGGATTTAAAATCCTTCTCAGACATTTTCACAGTCTTATAGTTTTCCATTACATCGAGGATACAGAAAATGTAAAGATGAAGCCACTGATGACTAATGAATCATTTGTAGAATGACGAAAATTTTCTGATAATTGGAAGACTCTGTTTTTTTCGTATTATTGAGTGAATGATGACATTGTTTTCCAAGAAGAGGTTTTCTATATACAAAAGGCCGGTTTTTTAAATTCAAAAGACCGGTTTCCTGAATTCAAAAGGCCGAATATTTTTTTTACAATTCTGCAACACTACACTACGTCAAATATAATCAGGATTTTACTCTAATCTACGTATGTATGAATAATTTATCAAAAATCCCAGGTGTTAAGAAAAGAATCTGACAAACAATAATCAGAAGCAAGAAATCAGTGAAGCAGAAAAACTAAACAAATTTTGCTGAGGATTTTTCTAGATATCGTCGTGAAAAACATGTTGAACTAGAATTAAGTTGAGCAAGACTGTGAAAATCTAGTCTGCTCACCGGGGCAAAACTAACAATTTCAGAAGAACCGTAATCAAAAAGCAGTGGTCTTCCGTTTAAAACTTCAGGTTCGGATGGTTACTGTAGTCTGAAATAAAGCTGCTAAAGTTAAGATTTTCAAATTTCAGTGTATCAAAACCAAATTATTTTCCTCAAATGTTGTTTGAAAATGTTTTCACTAAATTTTAACCACATTTACAAATTTTTTTAGTCCTTAAACCTATCATTTTGGAAATGTTAGAAAAATGATTACAACTTCTTTTTTTTTGCCAAACCGATCTTTCAATAAATGAAACTCGTGTGAAGACGAAAGAAAACATACTAAGAAAGGCAGAAAACGTGATATTTCAAAAAATAAAATGTTTAGAAAATTTCAGATCTTCTCAATTTCTCAGGTAGCTTGCTTACTATTGAGATTCTGAAAATTTCGAATACTTCCGATTCCTGGATCAATTCAAAATGATTTCTCGAAATGTAGCTTCAGAACATATGTTCAATATGTGGAAATCAACTGAAAGCTTCGACTACTACCACCATTAGAAGAACCGCCACGGAAAGAAAACCGATAAAATGAACCCGGGCGGTTCAATAAACCCAAAATCACGGGCTGATGGAATCCCAGTCTAGTGCAACATTCCAAGTGACAAATCGGAAGGGAAACACTTCTCTGCCAACCCAAGACTCGTTGTATCACTTATTAAAATAAGCCTTTCCATCGATGAAGATTAGAAACACCCAAGAAGAAACTCAAAACGCCTATGATGAAAACGAAGAATTCGACCAGAGAAGAACCCCCGAGTACTCTGAAAGCCCCAAGAAATCTCAAAACAAGGGCTATGCAACAAATTTCATTTCGAACCCTCCGACCAGAGACAAAAAAAAACAGAAATAAAATACAAATCAGTTTTGAGAATGGGACAAATCAATTAAAAAGATCAACACAATCAGAGTTCACTTCTTCTCGAATCCAGCGGCATAGGTCGGTTTGAGGGTGTATCCTCGGCTGACGAATTCCTTCCAAGTGAACGGATAGTTGCACATCTCTGTGTAACAGTAGCACAGCCACATGTCGGACGATGGAATGCCGAGGTTGCTTTGGACGTGCTGGAAATTGGGAGTGATACTTAAAAGATCATACCATTTAAAATACCTGCATGACACAATCGTTTCCCTTGGTCATATTGACAATGTTCGGGATGCGAGATGGATGTCTCTCACCACCTCCGAATGCTCCGGTGCCATCGGAGACCTCGTACACCGCAATACAGAACTTACGGTGGTGGAGGGTCTCGACGACTTCTTGGTAATCGTTGTAGCCATAGCAGGAGATTCCGAAGGAGGGAGCAGCGGAGAGGGAGAGGAGGAAAATGAGACGGATCATTTTCTCCGAGAGGTTGAGGCGGGGGAGAGTGAGGTAACGACTGATGTAAAGCACTGCTAAAAGACCCTTTTAAAGAGAAGGGTCTTGAGACTCCGCCCATATTTCAGAAAAGTATGCGTTTTTGATTCTCCGCCCATGTTTCAGAAAAGTATGCGTTTTTGATTCTCCGCCTATATTTTAGAAATTTACTCGTATCTAATGCTCCGCCCAATTCTTCAACTCTCCTCTTGCTGTACGATGATGATGAATTTGAAGATAAGAGAAGGATGAGAAATACTTTCACGGTTAGGTTTTCTCTTTGGATAGCAGAAAAATGGGATGCGAACGATCGCAGAGGGCGAGTGGGCTGCCGAGGACCAAACCGCATGTTTTTTGGAAAATATGCACAACGACCCCAAAGCATCCAAACATAGGCAAATGTTGATATTCGGACCAGGACCCGTGAAAAATAGGACCGGAAAAATTGCTCTCCGTCGAATCCCGCCATGGGCGTCTGGTGCGAGACACAGCAATCAGATATAATTACAATAGGTATCATTTTTTCGATGACGTCAAGTTCTGCATTTTAAAATTTGATTCAAATAGAAATTCCTGGGCCGAGTTATCTTTCAAGTATCCGGTGACTGACTTGCTGAATTCGTGTCTCATGTGATGACTAAAGTAGATAACATTCAGAGAATTTGCAACATTCCAATAAATTATTTAATTGGTGTGTAAAACAGAAAAATGGAAAATAGTTATAACATTTGAGATATTTAAATTTCATAATTTTTTCATTTGTTAAAATTTCATTCTAAAAGTTTTCAAAATTTCTATTGTTTTCTTGAACAGCTGATGCAAAAAGTCTACTGTAGATTGAAGAATGTCATTCTTGCCACAAAAAAAGTAATCTGTTTTTGCCTGCCTGTTCACCGCGATTGGTGTTCACATCTTCTTTGGCTACTTTATTTTTTCTTGTACTCCATCTTTCGGCTGAAGGAGTTCCCAATTGATAGCTCAGCCGGTAGCGGCTGATCAATCACAGTACAGTTTTCTTGGAAGTTTCACTCTCCTTAAGAATTTCAAGACAAATGTTTCAACCCTGTTGTTTCCAAAAATATTAAGTTTGAAAAATATTAGTTTTATAAACTGCTTTTTTTCACATATCAATTTTTTGAATTCATTCTCCTTAAATTCTACAGCAATCGTCTTATTTTGTGACTCATTTTTTTTTAAACATTTTTTCTCCGATTCCATTCATGGTAGTTTCTGACCCGAATATTCTAATCCTCTGCATTTTCTGACCATTGTACGTCAGTTGGTGAAAACTGAGTATAATTTGAGATTGAATTTCCAAGATCACATTCAAAGTCCATCAGGATGAAAATTTCATATTCGAGAAGTGGTGAGGAGAATTTTTTGGAACATTCATAGCTTTGTTCAAATTCGCTTAATTGATTTGTAATTTTGCATGAGAACAGCTGTAAAATCCAAAAACATAAAAATCAGTTTTTGGAAAATTTCTCATTTTCTGAAGTTTCAGAGCAGTCTCAGATGTAACAGTGGCCACAGAATCCATAAAAAAACTTTTTTGAGAATTTTTTCTGGCTTCGATTTCAGATGTCAAATGATTTTCAACGTCCACATATGCACCAAAAAAATTTTGAAAACTGTTGGAAGTCGGGCTCTCGAGTTATGATGCTCAGAGCACAAAAGGTATGTGTCGGCATTTTTGCCATAGCTCAGCTGAAAATGTATTTTAGATGCTCAAAATTTCACAAACGATTTGAATTTGGTTGTTTAACATTTTTGTGTTAAAAGTTTTTTCAATTGTAGGGAAAAAATATTTTCTTTTTTCTCACCTCTACGGGAGTACGATGAATTCGAACTTTCGCGAAATCGAACTGTCCCGAAATCGAACTCGTTCGAATTAGAACTGTCCCTTTTTCGAACACGCCCAGAACAGAACAAGAACGGAATCGAACTGTTCCAACTCGAACTGATTCGGTGTCGAACTGTCCCGAATTGGAACTCTGTTAGCAACAGAGCGCGCTTGCATTACCTTTGAAAATTTCAAGTTTTCTTCAGAAAAAAAATCATTTTTACAACAAAAAAAGCATTTTTATTTGAATACAGTGAGGAAAAAACATTTTGAAAATAGAAAATATGTGTTTAAAAAAGAAAGAATTCATGACTTTTAAACAGAATGGGCAAGAATTAGCAAGCAACTCAAGACCGACATCTGAAGCAAATACAAGAATCCGTGATGAGCCAGTTGCTGTTTGAAACTGCTCATCTTTTACTAGAAACCTCTGTCCATCTGAAATTGAATTTTTCAAATGTCAAAACTTTGTGTTTACCTTTAGTTTGTGAGAACTCGTTTGCAATGCTTCCACCCTTATCCATCTCAATAACATCGTCTTCTTTTCTTCCTTTCGCAGTGTCAATGATTTTTCGCTTTGCGTCATAGGATCCTATTAAAAATATATAATTGTTTATAAGACACTTTATGATGTTGTGTACTAACCACAAGCAACTGAAGCAACTACAGAGAACTTGGCTCTAACATCATCAACCACTTCGCGGGGTTTTCCGTCATTCGAACATTTTTTCAATTCCTGGCGCACGAGGAATGCCTGAAGAAAAATCGTTTGCTGTGACGACTATTCTGTTACATTCTATCGATTGATACTAACTTCACTTCTGACAAAATCCTCGTCGTGTCTCACATGTTGCTTCTTAACAGTGAACGTGTTGTTCCTTCTGTCGAAAAGATGAGCTGCATCACATCGAGCTCGTCTTTCTCTGGAAAAAATATTGTTTTATAGTAATGCTGCAATTTTTTACCGCTCGACACAGTAAAAAAGCTCTGTTCCATTTTTGTTCATTTTTTTGAAACGCATTGCATATCCTTGAACTTGAACGATCGGCTTGTTTTTACGAGAAGCCACTTTCTGTAAAGTTTATATTCTCGAAACGGGAAGAGAAATTCGCAAAATATCCAAAATAAGTGAAAAAAGTTATTTTCTGGAGAAAACATGCAAAATTTGTTGACAAAAATAATTTTAAAAAAGCAAGCGCGCCCTGTTGCTAACAGAGTTCCAATCCGGGACAGTTCGACACCGCACAGTTCGAATTTATAGCAGTTCGATTCCGTTCTTGTTCTGTTCTGGGCGTGTTCGAAAAAGGGACAGTTCTAATTCGAACGAGTTCGATTTCGGGACAGTTCGATTTCGCGAAAGTTCGAATTCATCGTACTCCCACCTCTACAAAAAATTTCTAAAATTTAAAAATGAAAAAAAAAACTTTTAATTGAAAAACATTTAACATAAAACTGTTAAACAACTTAAATCACATCATTTGTGAAGTTTTGAGCATCAAAACCACATTTTCAGCGGAGTTACGCCAACACATACCTTTTGTTCTCTGAGCATCATAACTCGAGAGCCCGACTTCCAAAATTTTTCAAAAATTGTTTGGTGCATACGTGGACATTAAAAATCATTTGACATCTAAAATCGAAGCCAGAAAAAATCCTCAAAATAGTTTTTGTGGATTCTCTGACCACGGTTACATCTGAAACTGCTCTAAAAATTCTGAAAATGAGAACCTTCAAAAAACCGAGTTTTATGTTTTGGAATTTTACAGCTATTCTCATGCAAAATTTCAAGTCAATTGAGCGTTTTTGAACAAAGCAATGAATGTTCGAAAAAATTCTCCTCACCACTTCTCGCCACTGTATTTATCATGTTGACAAGAAGAATCAGGAACAAGGAAACATTGAAATCATTTTTCTAACATTTCCTAAATTATATGTTAAAGAATTGAAAAAACATTTTGAATGTAGTTGGAATGTAGTGAAAACAATTTCAAACAACATTTAGGAAAAACAAAATTTGTCATACGAAATTTCGAAGTTAATCAAAAAATTTTAATCGAAATTGAATCCCCTTGATTTCAGACTACATACATGAATCCTACCAATCTAAACAAAACATACTGCTCGAAAAAGTTTTTGGATTTTTTTTTCGTGTTCCTGATCTAGTACCATAAACGTGTTCTAGATGTCAAATTGAAGGATTAGTTTTTAAGAACACGATTGTGTTCCAAAAAAACTAAAGTTTGCGACCAATTTAGAATGTTTTCAGTTCTAGAACCAAAAAACACAAAACGATCCAGAAGTCGTATCTCTATTGAAAGATCGTAGATGTTTCCGTTTGTATCTAACACTGCCAAAAAACAACCATATGGCGCCTGACATCACCAACTTTTCTAGGAAGATCTCATGCTTGCTTCAACAAAGACATTTTTGTGTTTTTGACATATGACACTGGCCAAAAACAACCATATGGCGCCTGATTTATTGATCTTCAAAAAGAAAAATTTGACTTCGAAGAAAAAGATCACACGAATTATTGTAGGATAGTGGCAAAAAACAACCATATGGCGCCTAAGGTTCAATGATTCTGAAACATTACTTTCTCGGTTTGGTGGGTTTTCTTATTTCATTTCAAAAAAAAGTACACATCATTGGTGTAGATCTTAAAACCTACGTCATATGATGTCTTCTAGAGAATTAGAATCATATCTGAAACGAATTTCAGAAAAGGGGGGATTCCTTAAAGGGGGAATCCGACCAAAAATTTTTATTGCATTAAAATGTGTTAAAAGTTATCTATTTTCCGAATATTATTGCGAAAAAATTCAAAGAAAATCCGAAATCTCCGAAAAACGCCATTGAAAAGGAAGAAAATTCAAAAAAAGGTGCCGCCGGGGGACGAGGATTTTCAGTGAGAAACCTAGGCCACGGCACCTGACAGCCTTTTTTTCAAGTCGCCGACAGTGGTTTTTTACGTTTTTTACCTGCCGGACATGAAATTCAAAAAAATC